TGGGAGGCAAAATCCGTGATGCTTTCTCACAGATGCAAGGAGGGTGCCTTGCTCATTGCTCCGGAAGTCGATAAAGTCAATACGTTTATTTTTGAGTGTAGAATGAAATTTGCCTCTGCTTCTAAACCAAGGAAAAAAACCTTGTGCCACAGCTATCAAATGTTCAGAAAACCCCTACTGATCCATGAAGATGTTCTGTGGGTTTGGGGTTGCCACATGGTTGTTTCCAAGAACTATGGCCCTCGGGCTGAATGTCTCTGGGAACAGAGTTCGCTGCCCCCAGATATAAGATTTTCAATGAAGGACCTAATGACAAATTGTACATACATAGAGAATGTTCTTGTGAAAGACAGAAAGAAGCATTTCAAAATATTAATTTTCTAATTGTTTATTTTTAATAGTTTGTTTAATCATTTAATATAAATATTTTAATAAGAATGATTGCATCAAGAATATTAATGAGTAATCCATCTTGAGTCCCTTTGAGAAAGGTGGACTATAAATAAATCAATATGTTTATATATATCTGATTTATTTTGGGAGACAGGAGAAAAGTATTCATCGTAGTTTTATTCAGGCGCTTCTTTGCCAAGGCAGAGAAAAAGATGTCAATAAAAGTAAGTTACAGAGCACATGTCACAACTAACATATTGAAAGGAAAGAAATTTTGTCCTTTAAAAAAATAACATCTAAGTCCTGTTCTAAGTATAGAAAAAATAGACTGCTTGAGTGTCCTTTTCTTTCCTTGGTCCCAAGCTGTGATTTTATGAAGTAGTAAATGGTCTGATATTCTTTCAATCTGTTTTTGTATCGATGGGAATTATTGACTTTCCCATTGTTCTGCAATTAGCATTTGTGCTACAGATGAGTTTCCAGCTCACCGCATGAGATCCAAGTTCCCCCCATCTGGGAATTATGGTGGATTGTTTTAGGGACTTTTTATATTTTATACATAGTGTTGGGGTCTATGCTTAAATTATATGCTGTTTTGATTGTTGATGCTGTATAGTCTCTTCGAAAAAGAGAGCGGGCTGGGGTACAAAAATGACAGAAAAATAATAGAGAGCCATAAAATACAGGACACCCAAATTGCAAAATTATTCCAAAACATCTTATGGTAATAGCCTATACACCAGTAAAATACTCAGAAGCAATACGATCTTTAAAATTTAGTTAAGAGCTGCAGTGAAAGAGAAAAAAAAGCTGTCTTCTAATGACCATCCAGGTATCCAGTGCCTTATTCTCAGTTTGCCTCAGGGAGGCAGTAGCTTCATAGCTATTGAACTACCTGAGAACAGTACAAAGGATGAGATGGCAGGTGGTCACTCTCTCGAAAAGGATTCTTGGCTTTGATTTTGGGCTGGGTGGGTTGTATGCATGCCGTCTGAGACATACAGATACACACACACACACACACAGTCTTACTGATGCAACATGATGCCAATTCTCTTAAGTCATCCTCTCATGCACATACTGCAAAGGGGTAGCCGTGTCAGTCTGTCTTGCAGGCCCTGCAGAACTGAGTTAGGTCTTACAGGGCACTGATGTCATTGGGCAGAGAGTTCCCCCAGGTAGGCACCAGTCCCTGGCTCAGGTTGAGGACAGCTGGATATCCTTCAGTCTGGGGATCACCAGGAAGTTCTTCTCTCCAGAGCATAATACTCTTCAGGTGGGGGGGGGGGATACCAGGAGAGGCAGTCCTGTAGATATGTTGGTCCCAGACCGTTTACAGATTTGAAGGTTAATACCCAAACCTTGAACCTGATCCGGTATTCAATCTGGAGCCAGGGCAGTTAGCACAGCACCGGTTGGATATGTGCTGTTAGTGGGTTCCAGGAAGGACCCGGGCTGCTGCATTCTGAACTAGTTGTAACTTCTGGGTCAGTTTCAAGGGTAGCCCTGCATAGAGCGAGTTACAGTAGTCTAGCCTGGAGGTGACCTTTGCATGGATTAGTGTGGCTAGGTCAGAGCGAGACAGGTAGGGGGCCAATTAAAGGTCTGCAGGAAAATAATGGCTGTCAATATGTGAAATTCAGACCCATCACCACCATCACCCATTTCTGGGTTCTTGCCCCCTTTGCACTAACAGGCCATACTGCTGATCCTTGCCAGGGTCTAGACTGGAGTCCCTGTTTTGAGCCTGCAGGCACCTGTAGTATTCCAAGTGAAGGGTAGCTTACACAGTTTCTCCCCTCCATTTTATCCACACAGCAACCTGTGAGGTCAGACAGGCTGAGAGAGAGATTGACACAAGTTCACCCAGTGAGCTTTGTGGCTGAACAAGGCTTTCTGCCCACCTCCAGTGTTCTCCGCAGGCCAGCTTTCAAATGTTTTGTGAAGCACAATCAGAATTCAACGAACCAGTGGACAGATGGCTATTGCACTGATTTCTGTAACGTGTTTTATTTTGCAAATATTAAAATGGCAACATTATAACATTCTTGCCTCCACAACATAGTATTAGAAGTGCGCCATTCACATTGAAAGAGTTGGCATATGCAACAGGTTCCAGTTGTTAAATAAATACAGCAGCAGCTGTGGCCTTGGTTAGTTCTCGGTAGGATTTCCCAGGACTTCTGGCCAGGCTCCCTGCAGTGTGGGTAGTGCAAACAAATCCTGAGGTCTTAAACTGGGCTGCCCAGTACTATTGCTTCAATGTCGGTTTACTGATGGAACTCCTGGAACTGCCCACCCCTCGTTTCATCAGTAAAATCCATTGTTAAATTCCATCAATTTCTGTTCAATATGGAGAAATTTCAGCTCTGAGGAAAAGCTCAAGAAAACCAACATTAAAGGATAGCACCAGCAGCTGTGGGAAATGAAACAGAAAGCATGCTTTTTTTCATATTCAGCATTCTTCACACTCCCTTGTTCAAAAGGATCACAAGGTAGCCATCCTATTTTTCAAACTGCGCCATAGTGGAGCTATGCATACAAGCATCATATGTCATTTTTAAAGGCAGGAGCAAGGATTTAACTTGAGATAGTGATCCTTCACCTGTGAAGTCAATGGAGGGAGGTTTTGAACCACTGACTTCAGAATGGAAAGTGAATCCTTGGTCCTTTTTTCAGACATCTCTCCATGGAAGGCAGCAGGAGCGTGTCTGAACAAGGGCTAGTCAAAACACAGTTAAGAACCTCAGGAAATGGCACTTGTCAAATGAGTTGTCTCATGCAGATTGGAATTTGGCAATCGGCTCAGGAAGCAAGCTGAAGGCAAGCGAACAAGGGATATTTTAACAATCACAGGAAAATTTAAAAGCCAAAACTGATCTTCACTGGCATTTTAAAAGTGTTGGTGAGACCAGTAATGCACTAGTTTACCATTGCTGTTCATCAAGTAACAAAGGGTCTCGTGACCTTGAACGAAAACTGTATAGAGCACAGTCCAATTTCAAAGCTGTGTTACGTATCTAAGATTATCAAGCTCTGTGCTGGAAAACCTCAGGAAATGAATCAAAGGGCTGGTTCACACATGCATACAGTCTCATTTTACTGGATTACTGGATGACTTTTAGCCAACTGGGTAAGTCACCTCCATATTGGGAGACATAAAATGTGTCATCTGTGATGGCTCATTCGCCTATCACTTGATTCTACAATCCATGGGTGACAAACTATTCCATCGCAAACCATCCCAAAATCTTAAACTGCATTATAAATTACTCAGCAATTGTGGGTTCTATGGCATTTCCTCCCAATTGATTTTAAGCTGCTTGGCATTTTGTAGCCTTTCTGCGATGGGCTCAGGATACAAGAGTGATTCACTACAAGCTATCTGCAGCTCGATTGTTCAGTCATAACTGGCACATTCTTTGTTGCCAGCATGACTGTTTATTGCAAGTAAGCCCCAAATCAATCTAAGATAGTATACATTACAGGAATGCACAGAAGTATAAATGGGCAGTGCTTATAGAAGGAAAAAGATGGTGGGTCTGTGCCCACTGCCTGTTCCCGCTTTACTCCCCCAGATGATGCCCACTACAGAAGATACAAGTTGGAAGGGTGATAAACATCCTCATGGGACAGGGCTTTGGCTTAGAGGCAGAGAACCTGCTTCGCATAGAGAAGGTCACAGGTTCAATCCCTGGCATCTCCAGTTAAGTATCAGATAGTTGGTGATGTGAAAGACCTAGTTGGTGATGTGAAAGACCTCTGCCTTGAACTGGGGAGGGGCTGCTGTCAGTCTATGTAGACAATACTGACTCTGGACAAACAGCCTGATTCAGGACAGGGCAGCTTTATGTGTTCATGGCAACTACTCTACTGAAAGTCAAAACCATTAACTCTGAGGATAATCCACATGGAGTCCCATTTTTCTTAGGATTTAAAAACCTAGGAAAATGTCTACACTTCATCTACCATCTTGGAAGCAAGGCGTTTGCACCAGAAAGCTCTAAGGCCTTCTAACTCGCTAACATAATTTCAGACAGATATCCTCATTTTGGGTAGGCATCATAAAAACTTCGCTTGCCCCCTTCTATCATTCTTCACCCATTCCACGTCTCACTTCTAAGATGTCCTTCACTGCTAACAACTGCCTGACTACAGTCACCATTTACTGGAAATCTCTGTCCAGAGACATGCATTGCAATTAACTGCAGCGGGAGATTGGCTTTGGAGATGCTCACGGTGAAAGGTTCCCTAACGCAGCAGGTTACAAATGACTTATGCGGTAATGGCCCCTTGACTAATAATGAGTGTTTTTGTGAGGCTATGTGCCGTGGAGCTTCAGATTTACAGCCTAGGATTTGGCAATGTTTTCAGCTTGGCACATTTTGCCTTTGGACTGATTCTGGCCCGGGATGGTAAACACCCGTTCACCTGATCACTGGTATGAATGAAGTGCTTCTATATGGGAAGAGACTCAGGTAGGGTTGCCAGTTCCAGGTTGCGAAATATCTGGAGACTTTGGGGGTGAAGCCGAGGAGGGTGGGGTTTGGGGAGGGACTCCAATGGAGTACAATGCCATAGAGGGGAATTTATCTCTGTCGCCTGGAGATCAGCTGTAATCCCAAGAAATCTCCAGTTACCATCTGGAGGTTGGCAACACTAGAAGAGAGCCCCCAATCTGTTTAAAATGTGCCATAAATGAATGGCATCTGTTGTGTATGGGCAGAAGGTCTAGTAAAAGCGTCCGCAGGCTAGTAACTTTTTAGGGGCCTGTTGCAAGGCTGTTCTAGCCCAGTCACCCTTCTCTTGCCGTTGACCTCCCTCTCTGTATCCTGCCTGTCATCACGTTACCCAAGTAGCAGCAGAAACTCCGAGTGCAACTCTAGGCTGATGGATGCAATGATTCATCTGAGAAATCTGCTTCTAAAGTGCTGTGCTCACCGAATGCCCTGGGCTGAATAAATAGCAATAACAGTAACAATGAATAAATAAATAAATAAAAATAATTAATTAAAAAAGGGGGTGATAACCCCAGGTTGCATGTAAAGTTCATAAGAGGCACTATATATACATCAATTATATGCACCTTCTGCAGATTCAATAACGCACCTTCTGCAGACATTAATGGAAGGAGGCCCTGCCCACTTACATGCATGGGGCAGAGGACAAGAGATCTATGGATGCAACTAAGTAGTGGCAGAATTCGTCTGAGTACAAATGCAAAGCAATGTCTACACTGTTAGGATACTAAGCCTTGCAATCCACATTTGAGACAGGGTGGTGCACCACCATGCAGAGGGCTGAGGTGTCTGGAGCTGTCTGCAGGGTGGAGATTTGAAAGCTCTTGTGCGTTATGTACAGGTTTGCTGTCTGTATCTAGCGGCACAGCAGAGGAAGGCTTCTAAGAGCAAGCAGCAGCTTTTGCTGATGCATGTAAATGGATGCACAGACACATAATGGTCCTCAGCAGGTGGTGGACAGTTTTAGAGAGGAATTCAACCTTCCCAGTTATCCGTCACTCAATTCGCACTTCCTTCGCTTTCCTTCTCTTGCCTGGACAGCAAGTTGCTCCTTGCACAATTTTCTCCAGAGGTTTTTGTTTGTTTGTTAAAAACACAAACTCCCGGTTTCTTATCACATACGGAGGGGTCTTCTCTTTTCCTCAACTGAACTTCTGGGCATATGTAAGCCTTTGAGCTATCGGGCATTCTGGCAAGGATAAAACCCCAGCCAAAGCGCCGCTGCTCAAAAGCTCTTAGCACCTCCCTCTTCGGCTCCTGCCTCTTCTTTTCCATTCTAGGTCTCTGTTCCCTCATCACAGTTCCTTGCAGCGACAACGGACTGACTCAAGTGTGGGTGGGCTTGCCCATTCTGTGGCTCGTTGCTTGTTCTACCAGGTCTCGGTAGTAGGCAGATTTTAAAAACCGGGGATAGGAGTCCTTCTCCATCAAGGTGTGGGTTTTGGCTTGGGCTTCCTCAAAGCAAGCTGGAGTGACAACTGTGAGGTTATTTCTGGTCACCTCTCTGGTTTCATGGTCAAGATTCACCTGTAAAGAAGGGACAGCACATTTTGATTAGTGTGCATTCCCAAATACCATGTGTGTAAAAAACAACTATGTACATTCCCATACCATATTTAAGGCAGGGAAACTCTCTTCACTGGGCATCAGAAAAGGACTTGCTTCCACTGGACTTCAATGGAGGAACCCCCCCCCCCCCCAAATTTCTGTTAGAAGCATATCCAACAAATTTCAACAGTCAGGCCTATGCAAAACAGATCGTATGAGCTGAGAGAGCTTTAATAATCTGCCAATCTCATAAGTGTTGCAGAGATGTACAAGGGAGGAGAGAACCTAGAAGTAAGGATCCAGATTAGGGTATTCATCATTGTAGACAAGAAGCATGAATAAGCAGTTCTGTGAGGTGGAAATGTGCATTAAAAAATAATAAAAGGACAAAAGTCAATTTTCTTCTCTCCACCTAGCACTTCTCTCCATTCTCAGCAACTAGTTTTCCTAGAAGGGTCACTGGTAAAGGGCCCTCCCCTCACAAGGGTCTGCTGGCCAGTTATTTTCCCCACAAATGCCAGTTCTTCACACTTGCCTTTGCCAGGTAAATGGAAGGGACATTCCTCAGGAAACCTGATGTGGCCTTTAGCTCCCCCAGGTTAGCCCAAGGTGCCAAGGGCACCAAACAGGTTTAGCCCCCCCCCCAACCGATTCGTACACCATTGTGTAAGAGAAATATATAATATCTCCTCTATTTGTTGTAAGCCGCCCTGAGCCCGATTTGTAGTGAAGGGTGGCCTAGTAAATCCAAACAATTAATTAATTAGTGGTTGTCGTTAATAAAAATGGTTGAGGGGAAGAGAATGAGAGCACGCGAAGTGTTCCAGGGCTTGATTCTAAGGAGAAAAAAGAACGATGGAAATGTTTTTGAATGGGGAGAGAAGAATTGGGGGGGGGGAGGGCTGGACCTCTCCCTTCATTCCAGCCTCCCTTTCTTGCCTTGGAAGATTTTGTGTAGTCATAAATAATTGACAAGGTCAACTGGATAATCTGAACCCCCTTGTAAGCCATTTGAATCCTTGTGCATGAAATTGAAGAGATGAACCACTCAAAATACTGGGTAAAATCAGGGAGAATGCAAATATGATCCTGTTCTTAGCCAGAGGGTCTATTTAGAAGAACTTCACGGTTCAGAAGAAAGATCAGTGAATGGAAGATTCAGACAACAGAGCTTCCTTTCTACTAGTTGCAATGTACAATTTGGAAGGAAATCATTCTTGCTTCATTACTTCCTAGCTGCAAAATGACTAATGATGATGTGGCTAATTAGTTTTATGAGCACAAATCGCAATTTGTCATTTGTACTGCAGGCTCCTTTGAGCACTCCTTCTAGACAAGGTGCTCAGTCGCGCAAGCCACACAAGTACGCAAGACGCCTACATATGCACATATATTGGGGCAGGGGACAGTGGTGTTTAAAAGTGCTTTGCCATGCTACCTGTGAGCCCACCCCTCACTTATTGCTGCCATTACCCCGGCCCAGGAGCCAAAGGAGATAACCCTCACTTACCTCTCCATTGCCCCAGCTCTCTTTACAAAGAACTAGAAATAATGCCTGTTGCAGAAATAAATACAACGGGATCTAGAAAGAGGCTCTGGGAGAGTGCTCTGGCTTTGGGCAAACAGTGTCAGTTTCCTGTGGCGACCTCAGCAGGGTTTAATGACAGAGTCCACTGTTTTCTCCAGAGGGACTGATCTCTGCTACCTGAAGAGCATTTGTATGTTTGAGTTATTTGTAGCCCTCACCTGGAGAGTGGTAACCATTGTTACCCATTCTCCTCCTCCCCCCCTCTCCCCTATGCAACTGAAAATTTCAATTGCCTTGCGGGGGGGGGGGGAGTTTGAGGTGTGGAATGGACTGAAGTCCAATCAGCTTCCATATGCAAAAGACCAGGTTGTCGCAGCAGTTGTGGTGTGGGCGGGACCCGGGCTTTGCCTTCTGATTGGTGGCGATATATGCTGAGGAGCAGTGCCATCAGCCATACACTAAGGGAGTGCATTTTAGAATTAGAACTTTGGCACCCACTATTCAATTATATATAAGGAGAGATGAGGCCCTACAGGGCTTCTAGAACTCTGATGAGATCACTTCCTCTTGCAAGAGTTGAGCCAACCATTTTGCTTACCCTGGCAACAGCCAACTCAAAATGGCTTCCAAAGTCTGATGATGCGTAGAAGGAATCTTGTGAGAGTTCCAGAACTGACATGCTGCTTTTAAAGGGGCACAGAGGAATGAAGAGATAAGGAGAATTGTATCATCTGGCTCCTAGGGGCTAGGATTCACACAGGTGGCAGGTGAACAAACAGGCTCCTCTTGCCACCTGGTTTCATAAACACTTGTGTACAACATTCAGTCATAGCTGAGACATAGGTTAGAACACCTGTAGCACACATTTAGAATGGGCCACAGGTACAGAAGCTAGAAATGGAACCTCCCCCAGTGGTAGTACCACCAGATATCAATGGTAAGGGATAACAAGGGAGGACTTGGCCTTACATCCTACATGCAGTTCTTCCAGGGCATCTGGTTGGTTACTGTGCGAAACAGAATACTGGCCTAGATGAGCCAGCGGTCTGATTCAGCACAGTTGTTCTTATGTTACAATCAGGTGGATTCCCTGTTCCTGAGACAGTGCGAGGAGGTTGGAAAAAGCTCCATGTGAACATACCTACGTTAGCTAAAACACAGCACATTTAGTTGCAGCTGCAACGAGTTCATTCGAGAGACCTTTTACTCACCTCTCTGGGGGCCTCGTTCTGAACATATTCTTCAAAGATCCTGTTGGCTCTTGAAACCAGTTTTGTTTTTGAGCGGGTTTTCTTGTATTCCTCGCAGGCCAGCCAGAACTCCAGATTTTCATCGCTGAATTCTGTTTTAAGGAAGCCTTGGAATGCTGCCATCCCATCTGTGAACAAAGAGGACAGAGAATATCTGGTTTAGCAGTGAATGGGGACAAAAGCAGTGGAAGGCTGATTTTGTACCGAGGAAAAGCACCAACAGTACGATCCTAAGCAGATTTACCACTTTCTAAGGCCACTAAACGGAGTGGATTTAAAGGGTGTAACTCTGTTTAGGAATGCACTGTCATTTTAAAGGGGAAAAAATGTAAAACAATACCAAAGCCTCATATTTAACAAACATCAGAACGTGCAAAAATGTCTTGCTGGAATGTAAGTTATTTCATAGATCTACTCAAGCCAACAAATGATGTGTGGATGTCTATAAGGTAAAAATGGTTTAAACCATAGCAAAGGTCTTTCTATGAGATTACACGGTTGTTTACAGAAACACACAGTCCCGTTTGTGACTGATCTGACCTCCTATTTATTACTGACCACAGCAGACCTGGGTCACTGAGGGTAGTCTAATACAGAAGGGCAGTTCTCCAAAATCAAGAGGGCAGAAAATCCCGAAGGACTCTCACGGCAGTCAAGGCCAGTGTTCCCTCTAAGCTGAGTTAGCGTGAGCTAGCTCACAGTTTTTTAGCCTCCAACTCACAGCTTTTTGTCTCAGCTCAGGAAGGGATGACTCCAGAGCAAACTGACTTATGCACCAGCCAAATGGCTCACTCACAACTTTAATGGCAGTAGCTCACAAAGGAGAATTTCTGCTCACAAGGCATTGCACCTCCTAAACGGTGGTTTTGTAAGGTTCTACTCTAGCATGTCTAGGAAATTCTCTGCTCTTTTCATTTTATTTATTTTATTTGCTCCCCACCCAGGCAGGCTCAGGGCAGCTATTTTTGGCCTACTGTGGAGCATGGAAGCAAGTTTGTGGACAGCGAAGGCAAGGAGAGCAGTGTGGGGTCTGAACAAAATCCTGCGAGGCATGCCCAGGACAAAGTTCAGGTTCCCACCGGGACACTCTCACCGGGAGATTGGCTTGGCAAAAATGCACAATGTCTTTCTGAGTCTGCATGAGTCTGTTATTTTATTTACGAGCACAATGAATTACTGAAGGCACCGTCTTTGCAACATTTGGGAAAGATGAGCTATGAGAAAGAACATTCTGTGATTTTAGCATAGAGGCTTCTAATTGTAACATTTTCACTGTGCCTTGTGTGAGCCTGCTTGACTCTAAAATAAAACACTCAGCCTGTCAGAAAGACAGTTCAGTTTGGTACAGAGAGAGACAGAGACAGAGCCTGAGCAGCTTCAAGAGGTCTCGGTGTGTTGTGTCGTTATTGAACCCTACCAAAGTCTACAGAGCAGCTTGAATAGGCTTGTCTAGCCTGATCTTGTCAGCACTTGGAAACTAAACAGGGTTGGCCGTGGTCAGAATTTGGATGGGAGACCACCGAGGGAGGCTGGGGTCGCTATGTGGAGGAAGGCAATGGCAAGCCCCCTCTGCTCCTCTCCTGTCTTGAAAACCCCTTGAGGGGTTGCTATAAGTCAGCTGCAACTTGATGGCACTTTATTATTAAGATGAGGGGATTTACATGGAGACTCGTAAGTACTTTCTTCTGCTAGAACCATTATGTACTCCAAGAAATTCATACTCACTTTTACTTTTCAATAAATGGTCAAAAGATTCCTTCCATCCGAGCACTTCTTCCAAGGCATATCTGGAGAACACAAGAAATGCTAAAATTAATTTGCTGGGTGACTTGAAAGTTCCATAAGCAAAGAAATTTTTGGGGTGAGGAGTAAAGGTGGGAAACAGGAAAAGCCCAGAACTAATATATGACTATCAGCAAAATGAGTGAGAGATGCCGCTTAGATGCTCACTGGTGCCATCCAACTGGGTCACTTTTCCTTTCTAATTAGTGCAGGTTGGCTCAGGGTTGAAGAGCAGCCACGAGCTCCATCAGTGGCTATTAGCCACAAAATATAGATGGAACACTATGCCTGGGGCAGTGACGCTCTGTATTCTTGGTGCTGGGGGGGGGTGGGGGGGGCAACAGTGGGAGGGCTTCTGGAGTTCTGGACCTGCTGGTGTACCTCCTGATGGCACCTGGTTTTTGGCCACTATGTGACACAGAGTGTTGGACTGGATGGGCCACTGGCTTGATCCAACATGGCTTCTCTTATGTTCTAACAGTTCTCATGTCTGGCTCTGTATTCTTTCTAGCCCTTCCTTCTTGTAGCTAGATATTCTCTGTGTAATAAATACATTACTCAGGGCTGGCAGAATGCCTTGCTTACCTGTGTTTTGTGCTGTGGTTCCAATTCCCAATCTTATGTCCCAGCTCTGGTTTATGAAGCAGGATCCCTAAACGGGTTTTGAACTCCTTGGCTCTGAAAAACAGTTTTTTGAGTAGCAGAATGTCAATACCATAAGGAGGAAAGTGGCCACTAGGGGGCAGTGGTGCATGCATTAAAGTCAAAGGCGCTTTACCGTGAGAAGTATAGCTTTTGTATGACCTCACTATTGACCTGGGCCCTGGCTGGGTTGGCTTTTACGTGCACATATAAACAGAATGGCAGTTGTTGCACGTTTTTGCAGAAAATACAAAGTAGATGTGGGAATATCTTACTAAGAGATCTTTGTTGTTTGCAAAACAAATAAGCTTTTCAGTTGCACAACATTCTTAATCGGGCATCTACACCTCACCTACACCCAAGACAAGGCCAGATTTCTACGTGCAAGCAACTCACAGTGCCATCTTAAGTAGAGTCACACCATTCTAAGTCCACTAAAATCAATGGACTTAGAAGAGTACAACACTGCTTAGAACTGCACCAAGGAGTCCCTCAGACTGATTAACTTAAAGAAGAAAAAAGAAGCTTGAGCTTCCAAATATATTTATTTATTTTTCCCATTTATACCCTGCCCTCCCCACCAAAGCAGGCTCAGGGCAGCTTAAGGTAAAGGTTCCCTTGCTCGAAAGCCAGTCAAATCAGACTCTAGGGTTGTGGTGCTCATCTCTGTTTCAAAGCCGAAGAGCCAGCGCTGCCCGAAGACGTTTCCGTGGTCATGTGGCCGGCATGACTAAACACCGAGGCGCACGGAACGCTGTTAGCTTCCCACTGAAGTGGTACCTATTTATCTACTTTTTGCTTTCGAACTGCTAGGTTGGCAGCTTACATAAAAGTAAATACACAAATAACAATTACCGTAAAACATCTAAAAACAGTTCATTATCAAACAGTGCAGTATTGTAGAGATGTATAGCTGTAGAGATGTGGCATTTCTAATTCTGCCATCTAATTTTCTATTAAAATCTGTCCATTATTATTTTACTGTACATCAATGACTACATATCTCATCGAAGTCCCCACCAATCTTGACGGTGGATCTATGTAGCATTAATCAAATACAAATGTTTATTTCTGAATTGGCTAACAGCATTTTACTATTTTTACAATTTGGCTGTGTCCCTTTGATGGATAAATCGCCGGCTTACTTCATCCTCCACCACTCTGACCCCTTGGCCACTGTCCCACAGAACCCACGGGAAGAGTGCCTGTCAAGGTGGTTGACCCAACCAACTCACATTGCTCTGTTTCCTGCATTCTGGTATACATGTTTTTATTTTATTTTTGAAATCTGTAATTCTATTTAAAAAAAAAAAATAGAAGCAGGGTGTTGTTTTTTACTTGTTCAATACATTTGCAAATGTGGCATCTGCTCTTCAGATGCAAACAGACCAACAGCTCCCAAAGAACGCAAAGCTGTGCATCTGCTAACTGTTTCTATTTAAGAGACCAGCTTCTCTCCCCCCCCCCCACTGTGGAGCATCTGGCACCCCTTGAGTGCTTCCTCCCCTCTGATGTCTCACTCCAAGTTTGCTCTGCATGGTTCTCCCACTCGCTGATGAGCTGTCTCATCTGTTACTGGTTTTGTTGTTGACAGGTGTACAAAGAACTGAGAAAGGAGGGCAGTAGAGCAATGGTTGCCACAGATGCTCCAAATCATCGCCCTTCTCCCAAACTGACGTGTGCCACTGGAAAACATTCCCAACAGACCAGAAAGGTACAGCTCTTGGTTACTGGAGACCTAGAGTACGCGTGACCTACGGAGCAAGATCTTGTCTCAGATACACAACATGTGGTGCATTATCCTCCAAGCCCCATTCCACCCTCTTCCAAGGGTCCCCAAAGCAGCAAGTGGTACTGTTCGTTTGCTACTTAAAAAAAATATGAGGTTCGGAAAGGAATAGGTCTTGGCAAGAAGTGATTGCTCCGTTCGCAAGTTGCAACAGCCACTTTGTTTTATGCATGCACTGCCTTCAGTGTTTATGGCTCACTGTGGAATAAACAATACAAAGAAGCAGGTCTCTGTCCCAAGGAGCTTGCACTCAGAATGGCGTGCTGCTATGCATTCTGGGAAGTATCCAATAAAATACCTCACACAGCCATTGGGTGTAGTGGTTAAGAAAACCATTCTTAACTGGGGTCCTTCCCCAGATGTGACTTAGATCGTGGGGATCATTCAAAACTTTTTTGAGGCTCAGAGGGGGCATTTGTGATTTCCCTCGTCAGGGCTTCTGACAGTCCACAGAGGAGAATTGTTTATACTTCCCCAGCTCCCACATTTTTCCAGCCTGCTCTTTAAAAAGTCAAATGCACCAAACAGTAATTAAACAGGAGCTGGCCATCGGACACATGAATGTATGCTTGTGTACCTTACAAAGAGAAATATACCTAAATAAATCGCACTGTTTCAAGTGCTGTTCCTACACCCTGGTTTTTTAGCTGTAGATTGGAGGGCATTCAATGATAATGCGGCATACACGGTAGGCAGCAGTGGATTAGAGGTTTAGAGTGTCAGTCTGGAACTGGAGAAACCCAGATTCAAATCTAGGTCCAAATCCCCACTTGCCATGAAAAATGAAACACTCTCGCAGCCCAACCTACCTCACAGAATTGTTGTGAGGTTAAAACGGGGGAGGGGGGGGGAGAGTGGGAACCGTATGCCCTGAACACCTTGTGAAAAGAGCAGGCTAAAGATGTAGTAAACAGTAGGCTCTACAGCCTGTAACAGTGCTGTTAAGTGTGCTTAAAACTATTCTGTCTTTCCACCCATCCCTCTGGGGTGAAACTCGGATTGTCAGTTCAAGACACTTAGCAGGACTTCCAGCAGGCTCCAAGCAAAACGCAGAAGTCAAAGAGGATGCAGAGGCAGGCAATGACCAACCACCTCTGAACATCTCTTGCCTTGAAAACCCTAGGGGGTCACCACAAGATGGCTGCAACTTGAGGTCACTTCAGGCACACACACACTCCAGTTGTTATTGCCCATGCCACAGTTCTGAACTCTATGAAAGGAATGGGACATTTTTTAATTCAGGCCTACTGTGGCTACCTTGCCTTGGTTATGTTACTTTATATTCCGATACAGAAATACACCAGTTATCGAAAGCCTCCCGTTAAGTTCTTTAAAACTGTGGACAGAGCTTAGTTCCCCCTCCACCTTCCCTGACCCAGTTCCCTCCTTCGCGACCCACTAGGGACTCTTTTCTTCTCCATCCGACTCCTCCGCACGCTTTTCAGGTTGGTGTCGCGAATAGCTCTTGCGCCTGCCGCGGCGCTTCTGCAGCCGCCCAGAGGAGTCTCTCTGCTTGGCGCATCACTGCGACAGTTCGGCGGAGGCTGGCTGGCGCGCGCCCCCCCCCCCCATGTTTCTATTCTTAGCTCACAGCCCGCCAGGTTGGTGCGCGGCACGGACGCGCGCGCACACACACACCCTGCTTGCAGAGGCGCTTGAAAGAACTGCAGTGCAAAAAGCACCCAACTCTGTGCGCCTTACCTTCAACCCCCCCCCCCCCGGTCATTATATCCAAACAAATGCGATCCTCGGGAGTCGAAGCGGGTAGCAACACCTCTCTAATGCAACAAGCATGCATATATATCTATATCTATATCTACAGGCATATTGAGCAACTAACGTGTTCACCTCCTGAATGTCTGCGGAAAATTTAGCGGGGGAATCTTCACCCTAGCCTAGTGGCTTTCAGAGCGGTCCTATGCAGATTTACTCCATTCTGAGCACCCTTGACAAAAAACGGACAGGGAGGAGTAACTCTATGCAGGACTGCCCTGCATGTGGCATTATTTACAACTGCGGCAAAGAAAATTCCAAGCGGGTCTTGTGGGAAAGTAACCAACCTAGCAGTTCGAAAGCAAGAAATTGCAAGTAGATAAATAGGTACCACTTCAGTGGGAAGGTAACAGCGTTCTGGGCGCCTTGGTGTTTAGTCATGCCGGCCACATGACCACGGAAATGTCTTCGGACAGCGCTGGCTCTTCGGCTTTGAGATGAGCACCGTAACCCTACAGTCGGATTCGACTGGCTTTCGAGCAAGGGAACCTTTACCTAACCGAGGTTCAGGCAGATTTTAATCTTTTGCGAAGACTAAATTGTCTTATAGCGCTCTTGATAGCTCTGGGATGGTCTCCATGGATCCTTTATCCGAGGCTTTCCTGCTAAATACGAAAACACAATCCCAAAAGTTGCATTTCGCGCATGCTTTCCATTGATTGCAACGGCCGTAACGTTTGAGTGTAGCTGGCAGAGCAGTAGCCAACTTTCCCCCTCGCTCGCTTTCGCAGATCTTGTTCGGAGTGGACAAAACCCAGCCAGTCTTTCACGAGATGCTGTCCGAGTCTGTGCTACTGTTGAACACACCCCTGCCTTGCCCCGGGACACGGCCCCGCCGAAACGTGCCCCCATCCCCGGTTTCTGCACTGCTTACTCAAAGCCTCCTCCCCCCCTTACCTTTCTAAGCAGCTGGTGGGGAGTCCAGATAAACCCCGACACATGTTGAGTTCGCAGGTGGGCGGCGTGGTGAAAACGGTGTGAAAAAGCTGCCTCTTTCACAGACGATTAGTTCCAGCGGCCCCTTCCTACACACCCTCTCCCTTTAGCTGTGCTTGCTGGAGTCCGGGAGCTGGGGCTGGGAGCGGCGCTTTTATAGCCTGCTGGGAGTGGGCGGGGGCGCGCGCGCACGTGTGTGTGAATGAAGCGCGCCCGGCTCTTTGCCGCCGAGCGACGGCGCGGAGAAGGGTCCGGGTCGCTTCTGCCGGCTCGGGGGGGGGGGGGGGCGCGTGCGAGAAGGCCTGGCGGTCGCCCTGGCGCCTCGCAGTTCCCAGAAGGGCTGACCCACCGGCCTCTTCCCAGATAGGAAGGACACAGCCCTGGCACCGCTGAGGGGGTGGGCTGAAGAGCGAGACTTCAGAGGCGCCAAAGATGTCTCTTGGCTGCTGTGCTGACAGGGAAGGTAACCATGGAATGGAACGCCGACCTGAAGGTTGTGTTTTATAGCGAGGAATGTCTCCCTGGTGGATCTGGGTTGCCCAAGCTAGCCTGATCTCGGCAGCTAAGCAGTGTCTGGCCTGGCTAGTATTGGATGGGAGACCTCCAAGGAATACGGGGTTTGTGTTGAGAGCAAGAATTCATATTCATTCTGGTTACAGGTCCCTTAAAAATGTCTATTTAGACACTGCCTCTTGGATGCACACCTTAATGTGGTGAGGGGGTTTCTGTGTACCAGCGAAGCTGAGAGCAATACTATAAGCAGTGTTCCCTCTAAGCTGAGTTAGTGTGAGCTTTGTTGTTGTTCAGTCGCACAGTCGAGTCCGACTCTTCGTGACCCCATGGTCAAGATCACGCCAGGCCCTCCTGTCTTCTGCCGTACTCTGAAGTTTGCTCAATTTCATGTTCGTTGCCTCGATGACACTGTCTAACCATCTCATCCTTTGCTGTCCCCATCTTCTTTGACCTTCAATCTTTCCCAGCATCAGGGTCTTCTCCAGGGAGTGCTCCCTTCTCATTTGGTGGCCAAAGTATTTGAGCTTCAGTTTCATTATCTGGCCTTCCAGGGAACAGTCAGGGTTGATTCCTTTTAGGATTGACTGATTTGATCTTCTTGCAGTCCAAGGGACTCTCAAGAGTCTTCTCCAGCACCATAATTCAAAAGATTCTATTCTTCGGCGCTCGGCCTTCCTTATAGTCTGACTCTCACAGCCATACATGACTATTGGGAATACCATTGCTTGGACCATGCAGACTTTTGTTGGCAGGGTGATGTCTCTACTTTTTATCATGCTGTTTAGGTTCGCCATCGCTTTCCTCCCAAGGAGCAGGCGTCTTTTAATTTCATTGCTACTGTCACAGTCTGCGGTGATCTGGGATCCCAGGAACGTGAAGTCTGTCACTACTTCCACAACTTCCCCTTCTATTTGCCAGGGAGTGATGGGGCCGGATGCCATGCTCTTAGTTTTTTTGATGTTGAGCTTCAAGCCCACTTTTCCGTTCTCCTCTTTTATATTCATCCAGGCCAGCATTTCGCATGATGTACTCTGCATATATATTAAATAAGCAAGGTGACAATATACATCCTTGCCGTACTCCTTTTCCTATGCTAAACCAATCAGTTGTTCCATATCCGGTTCTAACTGTCGCTTCTTGACCCTTATACAGGTTTCTCAAGAGACATGTGAGGTGGTCACTCAATGTTTATACTTCACTTTTCTCCCTGATGAGGCTCTGTCTTCACAACAACAACTCTCCTGTGAAGTGAGTTGGGCTGTGTCAGGCCAGGTGACTGGCATAATCTCCTACTCTACCCCCAACTGGATCTAAGTCAAGACACACTACCACAAGGGCTTGGATTGGAACTGGCTGGCAGCAGTATGAACCCAGGAGGGGATTGGTGTACCTCGCTCAGGGCAACAGATGACCTTGAACTGACTGCACCACACCAAAAACCTCTGAACTTTTGAACACTTTAAACTGGCTTAGACCTAATCAGGCCACTGGTTCATCAAAGTCAGTATTGTCTACTTGGACTGGCAGTGGCTCTCCAGGGTTTCAGGGAGACATTTCACATCTGATCCTTTTAATTGGATAGAAACTGGGGCCTTCTGCATGCCAAGCAGAAGCTCTTAACACTGAGCCACAGCCCCTTCCCAAGGGATAGCGCAATGGGGGTATTTTGCTGTCACTGAGTTGTCATGTACGATGTTCTTCCCACTTGGAGAGAGGGACATTTTTCTTATGCTTGGTTTGGAATTGCCTCAAGTATGATCCAGGGTAGCTTCTGATGTGAACTGGAAATGAGGAAATCACCCATTAAAACTGCGCCTCTGCTATGAAACTTATTAGATAGCTTTGGGAAAGCCACACTGTTTTAGCCCACATCTGCAACGTGGAGGGTCATAAAACTGGCCTACCTTATGGAGTTCTTGTATGGATTACAAGAAGATACAGTGTATGAAGAGTTTTGTATACCCTAAAAGTCAGATTGAAGGTCAAAGAAGACGGGGACGGCAAAGGATGAGATGGTTAGACAGTGTCATAGATGCAACGAACATGGAACTGAGCAAACTTCAGAGGACGGCGGAAGACCGGAAGGCCTGGCGTGATCTGGTCCATGGGGTCGCGAAGAGTCGGACTCGACTGTGCGACTGAACAACAACAAAAAAGTGTTATACCCCTTACCAGGATAGCCCAGGATAGCCCGATCTTGTCAGTATTCGAATGGGAGACCTCCAAGGAATACCAAGGTCATGACGCAGAGGCAGGCAATGGCAAACCACCTCTGAATGTCTCTTGCCGTGAAAACTACGGGATTGCCCTAAATTGGCTGCAACTTGACAGCACTTTCCACCCATATGAGTGTCAAATATTCTGATCTGTTTCACTGCTTGTCTTCTAAAAATGCTTGCAGAAAGGTACATTATTTGGTGTGTTTTTATCCATCCTCTTAGGAGCTCTAAACAATGTACACAATTCTCCCTTCCATGGCAAAACAGCATCCAGTAGTTCTAGTAGAATTTATTACCTTCGCTAGACCAGCCACGTACATATAACAAAGGAAACAGCATTCAAATAAACCGGGACAACAGCAGGCTGAAACTGGGCTGACCACTGAAGGGAGGTGATATAATGCAGAATGGGGAAAAAACCTGGAATAAAAAGAAGGTTGAACTTGATTTTAGTGCAGAATGGGGAGAAAAACCTGGATTAAAAAGAAGGTTGAATTCGATTTTAGTGCAGAATTGCTTGGAGGACACTGCGGTGAACATGGATTAAAAGGAGAGTGCAGAAAGGGCCAAATTATGAGCTACCTTTCTGTTGAAAAGGGTTTAGTGGTGGCATGAATCCAGCCATGCACTTCCAGAGACTTAACAGCACTCTTCGGAAGACAGTGCTGCAATTTCCACTGTTTACTCTTCCCACTGCTGACACCGCTTTACCGCTGATGCTGTTCCTGAAGACCTGTTGTCCTCTAACCATAAAATTTCAGCGTCTTAGTGGACTGCAGTTGAAATAGAAAACAGGAAATTCCCACTTTGCAAGATTTGCAGACGGTTGGATACACCCTGGTAAA